TTCAAATGGTTAAAGATCCTGATGGATTCACCGCAAGTGGTATGAAGCTGGGTGAGTGCAGCAATTTTTCCTCCTTTCATCTTTTTTTATCTAGCCTTTAGCTTTAACCTTCTCCTCTGTCATCAGCTTTTATTGTATCTATCCATTAGAGGATCCAATTCAAAAGCTACAGATGTCAATGGCAACCTCTCATTGACTTCAAAGAGCTTTGTACCAACCCCCAAATGACTTATTTTAAGCATTTATATTATATATCACTTTTTGTTTGCTGGCTGGAGTAATTTTCTAAACAAAAAGAAATCAGATATTTACTGAAACAATAGACTGAGTGATGAAGAAAAAGAAATCATTCTAAGATACACTCTCTAGGCCTTGAGCATGTTTAACCAGAAGCAGTAACTCCCTGTCAGTTAATTGATCAGTATGTGTTATCTGTGTAAAGACTACTTTATATATTGACACTATGTCTATCACCAATATTAACCCCACAGCAGTTTCTGCCATGAAAATAAGAATGTACATTCTCTCCATAATATATTTCTCACGGATTCTCATTCTGATAATGTTTTAGATACAGTTATTTCTTTTGAAGCAGCATTATTTAACATTTCATTCTCAAATGCAATGACAGTGTTGAAAACTCAAAAAACCAGTGACCACATAGTATGCTAAACTGGCTGTAGGTTAAACTGTCTCACATGGATGTCACTGATTTGAATTTAATGCATTCTGGCATAAATCAAGGAGAATCTGCTCTGAGCTCTGTTGGTAATACAGCAATAAATGTGCAGTCAACACTACTTCTGATATTACGACTTGATAAGCAGTGGGTTTCCCTAAAATTGGAGACCTGTTTTGCCTTAGCTGAACATATTTTGGCAAGATATGCCAGAAGTTTAAAAGCATAACAAAGATATTTTTACTCACAATTTGTTCAGTGCAGAGTTTATTGTATGACAGGGATTTCACAAAGCAAATCTAAAATCTGCTTAACAGCCTGGAATTTCCTAGGCATTTTTTTCTGGTTTAGCAGTCTTGGAGGAGAGAACCTGTGACTACACTGTTTTGTATCTTGACATATTGCAATAACCAGTATTTCTCCAAAGCTCATACTATCTATTTTAAATGGTAAAACAAATGGCTTCAGGATGTGCTAATGAGAGCACAAATGGATATTACATCAGTTTGCAAAAATTACACAAGTTCTTCTCATAGAACTACAAATACTGACAAGAGGAAACAATACAATGTATTGCACAGTTCTCAGGGAGAGCTGAAACATTATGTATAATTCAGATTATAACACATGGAAAACTGTGCAGCTGGGCAGAAGTTAAGCAAGCTCTTTCACTTTTGTCGATAGGGCTAGCTGTTGTGTATGGCAAAGTTTGAGGATAGATTCCAAGTCAACCATGTCTTACAACATAATATGACTCAAATATATGCATAGAAAAATGAATTACTTAAAAAAAACCTGTGCCTGAATTTACTGCAAGAAAACAGAATATTTATTAATGGTAATTATTTATTAACCTGAGCTGGTTAGTGCTAGAACTAAGAGAGCCAAGAGAATAAAGCAATTTGCACTACAAAGAAGGAAAAGATGTTGCAGGACACTTAAGATTGTGGGAAAAAAATGAAAATTGTGAAAGTAACACTACTGTCAAAGGCCACTCTCCTCTTTCACAAGGAGAGTGTACACAGGGAATATATATATATCTTTTTTTTCACAGTTCAGAAACTGAAAGTATAAAAGAAACAGTTAAAAGATGGTTTTTAAAGTATAAAATTGGTCCCAAAAAGCCAGAATAGAAAGTAAAATTATTTCAGATGGACTGCATTTAAAATTGAAATAAGAACAGACTCAAAAGATTTTGAAGAGCAAGTTGTTACAAGCAAATAAACTAGTAAGTATATCTTAGAAGTAGGAACCTAGCTATAGATCTAGGGGAACTAGTATAAGATTGATGTGTAAAAGAATGATAAGACCATAGCAGAAAAGAAAAATGTATTATTTTAATGCTTTCACTCAGGAGAAAATCCTAGAGTTTATATGATCCCATGTATTCTGGAACCTCTAAGGATGAACTGCCAATAAAACCTATTTTTCACAAATCAACAAAGGAAACATGAGCAAATTCCTGAAATGAACCACTTTGAAACACTTGAGATCCAAGGAGGTGCTTAGTTTCTTTAACCCATTATCACCCCTCTTCTGTCTTCTTCCACCTGCTTCTATTTATCTTGTGTCTGTAGAACCTGTGTATATTTTTTCTAAAAAATGGCTTTATTGATAATATAATTAAGGAGTTCTCTCAGCAGTTCCTGGAGCTCAGGTGCTCTGATGCTACACTAGGCATCTCTGTTGGGTCTGGAAGGTGGGCACTTCACTCACAATCTCATACTCTTGTTATAGCCTTGTTACCAGTTCAAGATAGCATTAACTCAAGATAGCATTAACCCCTTAGAAAAGTAATGAGATATGAAAGTGGTGAACTGCTGACTGGTTAAATGGGATAACAGCATCTGAAGAACCATGTTAAAGAACTGAGAGCAAAAGAAGAAATATCATCATACTCCTGTAGAAACCCTTTGTACCTAGTAACATAAGTCTTGAGTCCTAAATACAGATCTGGTCATTTTTTCATAGAATCATCATAGAATAGCTTAGGTTAGTGGGGATCTTATCATCTATTTAAAAACCCCTGCTATGAAAAGGATTGCCAGCCATTTCATTAGGTTGCCCAGGATCCCAGCCAACCTATCCGTGAGTGCCTTCATGGATGGGGCAGCCATAACCTCCCTGGGCAGCCTGTGCCAGTGTCTCACCACCCTCTGAATAAGAAATTTCTTCCTAACATCTAACACAAATCTCCCTCTTTTAGTTGAAAGCTATTGCCCTTTGTCCTATCACTATCAGACCACATAAAAACTGATACCCCTCCTGCCTGTAAGCTCCCTTCAGGTACTGGAAGACTGCAAAATGAGGTGCCCCCAGCCCTTCTTTTCTCCAACCTTTTCTCAGAAAATTTTCCAAGACTAAGATACAGGCATCAGAGATTCTCAGATTTCTGAAATGATTTTCAAACAAATAAACTAAACAAGTCTGGATGATTCTGGAGGGTAAGACACAATCCAGAAGAAAAATGATGAACATATATCTGTAAGACTATAAGCAATACTGAAAGGATGGAAAGGAAAAGTTTCCTTGCTCTTCCTTGTAATGCCAGAATTAGGGAACATCCTATTGATTTCCTGGGCAATAACTTGAACGCAAATAAAAATAAATTTATTTTTTGATATCACATGAAATTATAATTGTACTGCTAATTGCTACAGAGGACTGTGGAGCAGAGATCTGAAAAAAAACCTTCATCAGTGGCTATTAAAAACAAGGATCTTTATAAAGATTCTTTAAGACTCTTCATAAAAAATCTTTAAGAACTTTATCATATTCATTCCTGAGACATGGTACAAAAAGAATTTTTACAATGAAATATTTCCAGTGTATTGTACAAGCTGGCTAAAGTCTGCTGGCTTTAAAATAATATTTTTATTATTATATATAATGTTTTATTTATTACAATTGGAGAGTACATCATGCTGCTTGCAAAACATATAAGTAAGAGACACACTGAATATTTGACTTTTCCAGGTAGTTTGCTTTTACATTACTTTCTATACACTTTTTTTGCACTCCTACTGTTATTCTGAGATGCTTTCAGTTCTCATTATAAGCATTTTGAAGAAATGGAATAATTGAAAAATTAGAAGAATAATTATAATTATTTTTCTTCTGAGAGGAGAACTCATTGGAGCAGCACTGCAGAGAAGGACTTGGTGGTTCTGGTGGATGAAAAACCAAATGGACATGAGTCGACTGTGTGTGCTTACAGCCTGGAAAGCCAACTGTATCCTGGGCTGCAGCAAATGAAGAATGGGTAGCAAGGGAGGTGATTGCTCTCATGAGACCCCATCTGATGTACTGTGTCCAGATCTGAGGCCCCCAGGACAAGCAGGACATGGAGCCGTTGGAGTAGGTCTAGGGGATAGTCATGATAACAATCAGTGGGCAGGAGCATCTCTCCTATTATGACACAATGAGGGAGTTGGGCTTGCTCATCCTGGAGAAAAGAAAGCTCTGGGGAGATCTCTTACAAACTTATGAATGGCTTATACAAAAGAGAGACACTGATTTTTTACATGGTCTGACAGTGATAAAACAAGGAGAATGATTTTAAAACTACGAGAAAGGAGATATAGATCTCAGACATAGTGATGCTGCCCAGAGAAGCTTTGGATGCGCCAGTCCTGGAGCCCAGGTTGGATGGGGCCCTGGACAGCCTGACCTAGTGGGTTGCAACCCTGTCAATGGAATTTGGGTTGGAACTAGATGATCTTTAAAGAAATAAGTATAAATAAGCCATTCTATGATGATTCTGTGCTCACATATATTTCCAAAGAGGTAATAATATCATAAGAGGGTTACATGCTTAGTCACACAGTGCTGTAGTTAAGACAAAAACACTATACTTATATATACTTTATACTGTATATAAAAAATAAAGGTCTAGATACTTGAAACCAAGGTTAAGTGATAAAGATTGGTTTGTAATAGAATGCTTATGGCTAGGCCCAGACATGACAGATTGGTTGCATGCGCAGAATAAAGTATTGACCCTGGTTTGCTACGAAAACCAGGTAGTCTTAATGTGGTGTTTTATTCTGGTGTGAATTTTCACTTGCAAGCTTCTGAAATAATATCTTTGCACATGACAGGCCTGGTATTTTTATATAATATGTTGGTTTTTGGTTGTTATTCATTTCCTTGCTTTTTTTTTTTTTTTTTTTTTTTTTGCTTTTTTTTTTTTAATTAGCATGTTTTCAGGTAATGAAATGTGATTTTACCCAAGGCTACAGATCCTACAGTAATGACAACATAGACAGAAATGTATTTTCTGCAGTGTTCAGTATCCCAATAAAGCAAACTTCTATAGATATGTATTGCCAGACGTAATTTATTAACCCTTAGGGAACAAAGATATCAACACACTTTCGAACTTCCTATGCTTTAGCATAGGGCTTAATTATGCCAGTTTTTAACCATTAGTTGCTGTGGATATTCTGTTATGTTGACTATACTATACTATCTGGCTACCAATGGTAATTATTGACTTTCTTTGTCAATTCCTTGCTCCTCCTGCTGAATCCCTCTAAACATTTCTTCTCTTGAAGGATGTTGTACCACTCATGGAGGAGTTTGTGCTCTTCTTGGATAGCTTTTCTCTGACTATGAAGTGCCCTATTCTCGTCTAGGAGGGAAAGTTTCTGAGCCATGAGGGCATTTTTTTCTTCACAGAGACCTTTCTCTTCTTGTACCTGTTGTACCTTTGTAGAAAATTGGCCTTGTTTTTCTTCCATAGACGTAAAGGCTCTTTCCACCTAGCTTTGTCCTACATTTCAAATGCCATTTCTTGTTCTCTAAGAACTCTACGTTCTTCCCTGAGGGCCTTACATTGTTGTTGGAAGGCCTATAGCCATTTCTCATACTGGCTTTTCTGAAAAGCATACATACCTCTCATGAAGATTTGTATTCTCTTCCCAAAGAGCTTCATTCTGTCTGTGGATAATTTTATTTTGCTGGTATTAGGCTTTGTTCTCAACAACCAAGAAGCTGTTCTCTTGCTGTCTTCTCAAAGTCTCTGATTTTCCCTCCAGAGTATTTGGTTAAACTCCATCCTTTCAAAGAAGGTGACAGACAGAGGCAGTAGTTGTGCTGATATTGTTTAAAGACTCCTCTTCTTCTGTGTCAGACATTTTGTCCCTTTAATGCACCATTCAAGGGCTGCACTGTCCAGAGAGGTGATTCCACCTCTTCAAAATCACAAGAAGTAAAATGTCAACAGACTCTTGTTAGAAGAGCATATAAATAGATAAGCAAATAAATAAATATATAATCCACAAATTGTAAACAAGAAATAATGGCAGTTCTAATATTTTACAGGTATTAAGTACTTTTCCTTGTCCTGAAGTACATACAAATAATGTAAATTAAAATTAATGAGATTGAATTCATTGTACGGAAAAGAATCTTAAAATTTTAGAATCTTAAAAATTTGGAAATCTGTCTCATAAACATACAAAGTGGCACGCATTCTTGGAGAAATCGATACTGTTTGTTGTATTAGGCACCCACGGGGCTATCGGGATGTGATGTGACAGGACCTCCCCTGCTCGGTGACTGGACAATGCAAGCTTAAAGGGTGTAGATGAAGTAGAAGATGAATGTATTTAAACAGATGCCACGCAATAATAAACGGCCATTTTTCTGTTCTCACCATATTGGTGTATGCTAGTAGTTCTTAGTGCTAACTGGGGGGACTAATCAGTTAAGCAAAGGGCAACACAGCGTGACCGTAACATTCACGGCAACAACTGTTTATCTTTAATTATCATTTCCTTTGTTGTTTTTTTTTTTTTCTTAAAAAAAAGTCTACTTCTTCATAAAACATACACTTCTAGAACAGTCATCTTAATTACTACTGAATTTGCTATTAATGTTGTTTTTATTATAACCACCTTGATTTGGACTGGGAACGGCCTTGAATTTAAGCCAACTTTTATCTTCCAGAGAAATTAGGACAAACCAAATATATACTTAAGTTACAAAAAAAAAAAAATTATATCTATAACTCTTTTAAGAAGTAGAATTAGTGTATCCCTGTGTTTGTACTCTATCATCCAAGTTATAAGAACAATTATTCATTGTTTAATTTGCTTTTGTTTATGTCTTTACTCCCAACTCTGAGAACGTTATACTGTTTACACTGGACTAAAAGTACAGATCAAGAAGCAGTCTTAAAAGTTTAATTTTTACATAATACTATAAAAGCAGGTTCGAGACTGCCTCATGAGACTGAACGTGTACAAGTCTATGGGGCCGGATGGCGTGCATCCAGGGTTCTGAAGGAGCTGGCTGAGGTGGTTGCTGAGCCGCTCTCCATCGTATTTGAAAAGTCGTGGCTGTCAGGTGAGGTCCCGGATGACTGGAGGAAGGGTCACGTCACTGCCATTTACAAGAAAGGGAGCAAGGAGGACCCCGGGAACTACAGGCCGGTGAGTCTCACCTCTGTGCCTGGGAAGATCATGGAACAGATCATCCTGGACGACATGCTTGATCACATGAGGAAAGGGCGTGTGATCCAAGACAGCCAGCAGAGGCTAGAAAGGTGGGCCCGGGTGAACCTGATGAGGTTCAGCACGGCAAAGTGCAGAATTTTGCACTTGGGCCGGAGGAATCCCAGGCATCCCTACAGACTGGAAGGAGCGGTCCTTGAGAGCAGCCCTGTGGAGAAGGACCTGGGGGTCTTGATAGGTGAAAAACTTAATATGAGCCAGCAGTGTGCCCTTGCGGGTCAGAAGGCAAATGGTATCCTGGGCTCCATCAGAAGAGGGCTGGCCAGCAGGGACAGGGAGGTGATTGTTCCCCTCTACTCTGCTCTTGTGAGGCCCCATCTGGAGTACTGTGTCCAAGTGTGGAGTCTCCAGTACAAGAAAGACAGGGAGCTGTTGGAGAGGGTCCAGAGGAGGGCCACAAAGATGATCAGGGGACTGGAGCACCTCCCCTATGAAGACAGGCTGAGGGATCTGGGCTTGTTCAGCCTGGAGAAAAGAAGGCTGCGGGGTGACCTCATTGCAGCCTTTCAGTACCTAAAGGGAGCCTACAAACAGGAGGGGAATCAACTCTTTGAAAGGGTAGATAACTGCAGGACAAGGGGAAATGGTTTTAAGTTGAGGGAAGGGAGATTTAGGTTGGACATCAGGGGTAAGTTCTTTACAGAGAGAGTGGTGAGGTGCTGGAACAGGCTGCCCAGAGAGGTTGTGGATGCCCCATCCCTGGAGGTGTTCAGGGCCAGATTGGATGAGGCCCTGCGCAGTCTGGTCTAGCATTAGGTGGGAAGGTTGGTGGCCCTGCATGTGGCAGGGGGGTTGGAGCTTCATGATCCTTGAGGTCCCTTCCAACCCTGGCAATTCTGTGATTCTGTGAAAGCGTAGTATTGTAACATCAGGGATGTTTTAAATGTATGCCTGTTGTTTGCAAGGAAGCATTAAACAATTAGCCAGTATAACACTTGTCCTCATACTTTATATAGCAGACTAAATTTATAAACTTATATAGTGAAGAAATCTAGAGAGTTTCAGAGAATGTATGTATCTGTATCTGTATAGAGCAGGATAAATGAAGGAAATCATATGGTACTTACTGTTGTGCTGTTCTTGAATCACTCAGCCATCTGGAGTACAATGGTGAGTCAGTCAGCCACGTCATTCCAGAACTCACAGCATCAGTGATGTAGTAATGACTGCCTCTGGTGATCACAAAAGTTCCAGTCATCTGAAAAGTATGTGTTTGTATGGCCAGGATTACCTGGCAAGACAGTCTTTGTATTTAACACTCATTGGTATTTGATTGGTAGCTGTCACTGAAGTATTTTCTTATGTAGCCTTACTCTTATTAATCTCAGCAGAAATTTGTGGTTACTGGAGTTGGAGTTATTTTCAAATTACAGAAATTCAGCATGGAGATCTTATAATCTTAAGGTGATCTTATAATCGTCTTTCAGTATTTAAAGGTGATAAAGAAAGCTGAGAACAGGTTTCAAGATTGCCCCCCAAAATATCAATTTTTGGAGGGGTTTATTTCTGACTCCATTTTCAATCAACATAAATACATTACTGTGAATTTCCAAATGGAATGTATAGAGTTGCAATCAAAAATTTGGTTGTCTTTTTTTCTGGACTTCTACAAGCCCTGTCAAAAATATTCCTTGCTTCAGAGTCTTGCCTTATTCATGTCACCACTTTTTGACAGTACATATATTTGTGAACTAACATTCTGAAGGATGAAGTACAGGAAGAGTAAAATTTCATCAAAAATCTGTGAAGGACACCTTGGGAACTCACCAAGCATTGCAACTAATTGAAGCAAACCAATGCATTGGTTTCACCGGAACAAGGTCAAGGCATTCCACTAGAATTGTGGTTTGGTTGCTGAATCTTATTTATGATTAAATAAAAAGCATTAAAAATTTAAATAAATTTTGTTACTATAATACAATATATCATTGATAACTATATTATATTTCATGAGGGATGCTCTGAAAATAATGCCTTCTATTTTATTATCTTGGCCCGTAACGTCACAGATTGATGTTGGTGGTATGGCAGTAGAGATTGAACCTTCCTGCCAGTATTCCATGACATTTTGTTGCCATGCAATAGATAACGGCAGAGCAGCACTCTGACAGACTGACATCTGACATGGAAGTACAGATGAAGCGAAGAGGTAAAACTGAATTTCTGCATATTGCATACTGAATTTCTGCATACTTCTTTCTGCAGAAAGGAAGGAAAAAATGGAATCCATTGGCATTCATCGATGGCTGCTGAACATTTATGGAGACCAAACAGTGGATGTGAGCACACTGAGGTGCATTTCAGTATTGGTGACAGCAGTAGTGGATCACCTCCACTGGTGCAGATTTTTACAAGCACTCGTGTTCATCACTGGTAAAAACACACAGCTAATGATGGTGACTGTGTTGAAACAGACTGTTTTGTAGCTGGGAATGTCTTCTATCCAACAGTGTTATGGTACTTTTCGTATCAGATGTAGCTTCCATGGAAATAAATGGGAGGCATTGCTTTTGGAGCATCCCTTGTAGATGAGGTCCAGGCAATTCAAAAGTTTGGGTGTCCCTGCTTTAGGTCTTATCACAGTCAGAAGTTCCCAAATGTACTAACGGCAGTGATCCTTCTGTTAGAAACCTTGTGTTAGAAATGTTTTCGCACTGTGTTCCACCCTACCATTAACCTTGTCTTAAAGGTTACTCAGGTAAAGTCTGACTGTTGTGTCTGAATCAGAGCCTCAAGAATCAAAGCTATCATTGTCGCTGTGTTGTTGTTTTCCTCATACTTTGCAAGAAATTGTTAAAACCATACTGCTATCCTGATGTGTCACATGTTGCAAGGACTATAGATAGTGGAAATGAAATGCTATTTTCATTTACTCAACACTAAAAGAGTAAAGTGAATTTTATCATAATTGCTTGTTTTTGAAAAGATGCTTTGTATTCAGATCATTTCAATAGACTCTAAGCCCTTTCTAAAATTCTGATCAGAAGTTAATGCTGTCATATTATTAAGGCAAGGTAAGACCTGTATAGTAAAATATTTGTCTATTGTGTGTTTTTCTGTCCTTTTTGTTTGTATTAACATTTTTGTACATTTGTTTACAATGCTGTTAGAAGCACTTCTTGCCAGCTTTTCATGAAAGTGCAATTGCTCCAAATACCTTAGCTCAGAGGGTGGCATCTCAAAACTGACATAATCCGTAAGTTCTCCAAGTGCCTGTGGTCCATGTGAGTAGAGATGAGGTCACCAGTCTCCTTGCTGGAGCACAGGAGAACAGTTAGTAGTTGAAAGGAAAAAAAAAAAAAAAAAAACTGCAAGAAACATTTTTCTTTGAAATCTTTTTTTGCATATGTACGAGCATGTATATGGCTTTCTTATGTTATCCTTCAAAGTAAGTACAGGTGAGCTTTAAAATAACAGCAAAGTTATGTTTGAACTGAAAGCGCTGCTTTTTAATTTTAGCCTCCATTTGCTACAGAGGAATTTGTTTCATGTGCTTCAATGAGTTGCTGAACTGCCTGATCCTCGCAAGCCAACACTCCCAAGCACATGGACGAATAATGGAGCTTGAGAACTGTTAGCTAAGCTAATGTCAGCAATCACACCTCCCACAGCTATATGCTTTACTCACAGTCCTCTAGCTCCCATCTGCTCAGTGCAGAGTGGAATAAATCCCTTTTGATGTGCGCTAACAGTATACTTGGATGAGTTAAAAAAAAAAAAAAAAAGGGGTGGGGGAAGAAAAGAAATATTAAAATGAAACTGCAACAGTGTGATTTACAGTTTGGCGATATGAGTGGCTAGGATGGTGAAATTTTATTAGCACCGCTGGCTGGGCTCTGATGAGGGAAGTGAGTGCAACTGCCATTGAAAATAAATGCAACTGTGGTGGTGGCTGTAAATTATTTATTTATTTATTCATTCATTCATTCATTCATTCTTCAACTATATTTTAACAGAAGAAATCTACTTTCCTAAAAAAGCAAAAATGCTGGTAAGTAAGAGATGAATTGAAGGAAATAGCCCTGTGAGCTCCAAAACTAAAACACACATTTAGTTATTAACACTCCTAAAAAACAGAAGGAAATTGTACTGGTAAACTGGATCCTAATATATATAAAGCTATTTAAAGGAAAGGACTGTTTCAAAATGCAACAGATCTAAGATGTGCACAGTTATGCCAGCCCTGACAAAGACAGTACATTCTAGTGTATTTGCTTATCTCAGAGCTAACCAGGATGTATTTTCTCTCATTCTTTCTCTCAGAGGCAAATGACAAGATTCTTCTACTTTAGAGGCAGTAACAAGCTTATAGGTTTAATCTTTTGCAATGAATATATTTTAAATAAGTAAGGTTGAGGTTAGATACTAAATAGTATTTCGTGTTGTGAAGTGTAAAAACAAAACATTAGGTCTTGCAGTAGACTCATATGATGGTGGGTACAAAGTCAGAGATCTATATTTTGTCATTTATCCGACCAGCTCCAGTGAATTGTAATATAAATTCTTTTGAAAGATTAAGAACAATCTTTTTCTAAGATTTTCTAAAAATGAATCTTAGTTATTTTTTCTTTCAGATTTTGGGCAGCAAGAGATTGCTCACATAGAATCAAACACAAGATTTGCAGTTGCTGCTGTGGCATGGCTTTTTGGATGTTTTTAGGGCCATACTTGTTTAAGCTAATAAAAATCTGAGCTAAATGCGTTGGTATCAAAACTCACTGTTCAAACTGAGAAATTTGGACACAAAGTTAGTAGAGAGCTTGTTTCAATAAGTGTTAGTTTTCCAGACGTTGTATGAATGAAAACTGGGTGGGAGTAAGGGATAAAAAGTTATAAAATTACAGTATCCCAGGATGGGTTGGAAAGGACATCAAGGATCACCCAGTTCCAAACCCTGTGCCACAGGCAGGGCTGCTGGCCACTCAGATGAATTACTAGACCAGGCTGCCCAGGGTCCCATCCCAACTGGCCTTGAACACCTCCAGGGATGGGGTATCCACAGCGTCTCCGGGCAGCCTGTGCCAGCACCTCACCATTCTCTCAGTAAAGAACTTCTTTATTTTAAAATCACTGCCCCTTGTTCTGTCACTTTGAACCATTGTAAAAAGTTGATTTCTCTCATGTTTATAAACTCCCTTGAAATACTGGAAGAGCACAATGAGGTCTCCCCACAGCCTTCTCTTCTCCAGGCCGAACACGACCAGTTCCTTCAGCCGGCCTCCAAAGAAGAGGTGCTCCAGTGTGAGTTGTGCTCCACTGTGAGTTGTTTGCATGTATAGGGACTGCTTGTGTAGCACAGAGGCCAGCTTTCTCTAGTGAGAAACTGACCTTTCCCATTTTTAGGAAATTCTGGATTTAGGGAGAAGGAAGGGAATCGTTCCACCTCGAAACACACAGAGTACATTTGAGACTCTCCCACAAAAAGCAAGAAATTATACTTTAAAAATAGTCCATAGAATTTAAAAATGAATATTCCCTGGAAGCTCAATTTCAAGGATCTCAACTCTTCCTTTTGGCAGATCTATGAGGAAACGAGAGAACAGAAACTTTTCCTGTCACTGTTAGGCTGAAGCCTTTGAACCTAGACAGTGTGTTTCCAGGCTTCTAGATGCATGCTGAGACTGTCAGGGCATGCAGACTTTTGGCTCCATCAAAGGAGACATCATATTTCACCTGGGAGATCTGGGAAACACAAAGATCCTCCAATGTGATGTATTATAGAAGGGCTTGGGTTGGAGGCAGAGGTATCATAACTGTATAAAAAAAATGACACTTGTTAGTCTTTGTTCAGTGATGAGTATTGTTTCACAGGAAAATTCATGGTGCATTCTGAGTCACTGAGTATTTCACTCATTTTAAAATCAGTTCAGACTAGCTTAGGTATTGAAGAGTGGGTCAGTTTTACCACAAGTGTGTTCTGTCTCTTAGACTGGGGCTTGAAGTCTTGGTTTTGGCTACAGGCATTGGTCAGCAGTGTAATTCTTGTGTAATTCTATGGAAGTCTGTGGCCCCTCTGTTTTTATCTTCATGGTAGGATGTAGGTTAAAGAGTATTTATGCTTAGATTATTACTGAAGAAGAGTTCTGATTCTGACTTCAATTTTGTCTAGGTAGAGCTTTGACCTTTATAACAAGTCTATAGAAAATGGCATATTCTAAAACAC